CCCTTCATTTTTCCAGTGAGTTACATAGAAGGGGCAGCTATCAGACACATCACCTTAACAGAACAGAAAGGCCGTGATATTTCTGATGCTGGGAGAATAGATGATGCATCTGATTCCTGGCATGTTTGATATTGAAAACAGCATCAATAATGCATCAGAGCTGCCTTGAGCAGGGCTCAGCGCTCCCTTTGCCTCCTGACTTGCAATTCAGACATCAAGACTAATTGGGAAATGTGTTTTCTAGGTAGTAGTTGCAGAAATGAATGTTTCACCATGCTTAAAAATAAGTGAATTAATCCCTACCCAGGGCACCAATATTTGAAAGCAGAATACTGTTCTTACAAATATGGAACATTTCCAACGTCTGCTCAGCCCTGCGAGCACTGGTGTTCTCTGTTTCTGACAAATTGCTCTGATTTATTACTTTAAACAAACCTTTTTGAGCCTCTGGTGCACCTTGAAATATTATGATAGAAAAAAACGTAATGGTTGAGTTCCCACTTTTTCATATGAGTAATATCCACATTCCATTTAGGATTGCACCAGCCTAGAGATCCAACTGCAAGAAAATGAGTTTTTCTCTGAAAAGGAATTTCATGCTAAGCTAAGATTTCATGCAATCGTGTCCCATGCTGGAGCTGTGCTTTGGGCTTTATCCACATAAACATTTCTCATATATCCATGTGAACATTTCTCATATATCCATGTGAACATTTCTCATATATCCATGTGAACATTTCTCATATATCCATATAACCAGTGCATCACTCACTCAGCTCAAGGTGAGAAGGAAACCTGTTGGGATTTCATGGCAAAAGGAGTGAGCACACCAAGACAGGAACTATCCTGCACACAGGGAGGGCTCTGTTGTGCATTTCCTTCACATGCAGATGCCAGTTCCATTCCTTTCCCTGGACATTCTATGAGGATTTTTTCCTCTGTGCTGTTTAGATTGAAACTAATTTGATAAAATTCTTTTTTTAAGTTATTTTACATTTAAAATAAGTTTTTTAATTATTTTTGGTGACCCAAGCCAGACCTGCACAGAGGCCCCTCTGACTGTCCATGCCATTACTGAGGGAGCTGCAGGCTCCCCACATGCCAAGGTAACACACCCTGGTACCCACAGCTGTGGAGCAAGCCTCCTTTTCCAGAGGGGAAATAAATCACCAAGCAATGCTTCCCAGGGTGAAGTGGGCTCCGAAACCCATCTTTCATGAAATAATATCTGCTTTAAATTCAAGATAACCCTGGCCTCACCCCCCGGGCCTGCCATCCCTGCAGATGGAGGTCCAGCCAAAGTTTGGCTGAGGATTAGATCGATTCCAGCAGCAGCTGTAACAGGCACATGTCAAATCCCCACTGACCTGGATTTTTCCTCAAAGATTAATCCTTGCACCGCTGCTGGCTTTAACTCCTTGATGGGTGGATCGTGTCCTTTGTGAGCAGCCTCCCCTTGTGTGTGAGGTTCCCTGTTTGTGCCACACCCAGGGATGGGATCCCACCCTCTGGCTCCTCAGCATAACTCTCACACAGCTTTTTTGGGTTTTGTTCCAGGTGCAAGCCATAGGTGGGTGCCAATTATGAAGCTGATTATGGTTTATAGGGAGCACCTGGAGCTGTGCCGGGCGGTTTGGATGGGTTTTGGGGAAAGGTTCATCCCCAGGGAATGGGCACAGCCCCGAGGCTGCCAGAGCTCCAGGAGAGCTTGGGCAGCACTCCAGGTGTGCCCAGGTGGGGTTTGGGGTGTCTGGGCAGGGCCAGGGCTGCTCTGGGTGACCCTGTGGGTCCCAGCTCAGTCTCTGAACACAGCACCAGCAGGCACAGCTGCTGTGAATCCCAGCAGGTGCATTTTACAGCAGGACACCTGCTTAACTGTACAGCTCTTAGGGCTAATTTGCAGAAAGAGCAATAATTAATTAAAACAGGTGACTGGGTAGGAAAGCAATTTCCCCTTTTCCCCAGATAACCCCCAATATTTAAGGTACAAAAATCCATTGGAGTTCCTGCAATAAACTCCAATAACACACCCATCCGAACGATCTGTTAAGCTGCAGCAGTAATTTGGGGAGGGCTGTTAATGAGGAATATATTTCAGACACAATTCCACGTGTTTAATAGCGTGTCACTGCCTCCCCTTGCTCACAAACAAGCTGTTAGAGCAATGCCATCCCTTCTCCCAAGGAATCCATGCCTGTGTAATTAACTAAATCAACTGTAACACAGATGGCATCGCACCATCCAAAGGCACTTGATGGAAACATTTTAAGCATGTTATTAACATCCCTAAATAACTATTTAATGCTACCTCTCCAACCCTCTTCGGCACCAACACACAACACAGCTGGATTTGAGGATGGAAAAGGCAGTATTTAATTGCTACACTCTTATAAAAGATTTTCAGTTCTTGGATTTATTCAATTTATAAATGAGCTTGAAAAATAACAGACTCAACAGTGGCAACAAAACCACTGTGCTTTGGGTTTCAGAATTAAGGTTAATTTCCAGACTGATTCATCATCATTCAATTCAGCTGTGAGGAACTGGGCAGCAGAACAAGACACTGATGGGAGTAGGAACCTTTCTTTAGGCTGACCCAGACTATCCAAAAATTACATTTCTATTTGACAGTGGCTTTTACTTCTCAGTAGGTGTGTGCCCAGCTCTAAATCAAGATAAAAATTGACATTTCCCAGCAACAGATAAGAATTTGAATGGAAAGTTGATTAATCTCCCAAATGCAAACAGCTGGGAGATGTCCATCAGTGAAAAGCTGTTTCTGCAGCCTGGAAAACTGAGGATCAGATTATTTCAAACCTGATTTTTCATTATTAAATATCCTGGTTTAAATGACCTTTGTGTGACACTTGCTGCCAGTCCCCTCCTGATGCCAGCCCATCTCTGCCCTGTTACTGACTCAGCCCAGAAATACAACAGTAAACACAGAGCAACAACAGCATGAATAAACACAAACAGTGCTTTAGGGGAGAGCAGGAGCATCCCAGCGTGGCTAGGGGAGCCATTCCCCTTCTCCAGTCCAAAATCCCTCTCCAGCTCTCTCGGAGCCCCTTTAGGCACTGGCTAAATAAATATTTCTAGCTCTACAGAAAAGATCCATTATAAAAAGGATTTTATACCAAAAGCAGCCCTTGGAAGATGACTGAATGAAACCCTGGAAGCAAAATGTCCTCCCAGCTGATGAGCCAGGAACCCTGCCCAACCTGGAGGAGCAAAGCTCCTGTTTCCAGAGGAGGGACTGGGCAACAGGTGGGAAGGAAAGGCTGCAGGCCCATAGGAAAGAACTCAGAGCCTGTGCCCATGGGGGAATGGAGGGACGGCCCCCAGGCCCCCCAGGCCTCCCAGGCCCCCAGGCCCAGAGGGGACCCTGTGCTGCTGCCCTTGGCCAGGGCAGCTCTGCCAGGAGGGCTCTGCACGCACCACCTGCACAGGCTGGGGACTTTGCTGCTGTAATCTGATTGTTCCAAGCTGATTTGATCTGAAATGCTGCATGGGCCTCTGGAGTGAGCTGGCCTGGCCTGCAGATAGCTCTGCCCTGCAGCTTCACTGAATAAATCAGCAGGAGGGAGTGAGGCCTCCCTGCACCCTGCCAGAGCCAGAGCCTGGGGAAGAAAAGGCTTCACCCTCACTTGGACATTTCCAGTGCAAGCACCCCAGGCTGTGGTGCTGTGGTGCAGCCAGGATCGGGCTGTGGCTGCCCCATCCAAGTGCCCCAGGCCAGGCTGGACACTGGGGCTGGAGCACCTGGGACAGTGGGAAGTGTCCCTGCCATGGCTGGGCTGGCACTGGGGGGGCTTTGGGGTCACTTCCAACCCAAACCATTCTGGGATTCTCTGATCCATTTATCTAGGAAAATCTTTTTTTCAACACAAGAACTCTATAACCTTTTTTTAAAGCAAGACTAAAAACAAAAGAAAAAAAAAGGGGCGGGGAAAGAGGAACTTCAACAGCTGCCTTTGCTTGTGCTCCCCATTGGGTCACTAAAGTGACTTGCTGCAGTTCACCTCTGAGGCCAAGGGACTCATTCCCGAGGGGCCTCTCCTGGCTGATGCCTCCTCTCGGGAACCCTCCCCTGCAGGAATCTCCCCTCAGAAGCGCAGATGATGAGGAAGAGCACGGGTGTGCAATGTGCTCCATCATGGACAGGGAAGCATTCCCATGAAGAGTTCCAGTTCCAGGCTGGAGGAGCTGCAGAGCAGCCCTTCCCTGCACTGGGTCAGTGTGGCAGCTGGCTAATCCGGGATTGGATTCTCCAGCCTCTTGGCCTTCTGCATTTACTCCTTCGGGGAAAGTGGCCTCTGGCACNTGCCAGGGAACAATTTCTTCCTCTTTGTGGTATTGGGTTGATTTTTTACAGTACTCAGCAAAAGTCTCTGTTCTGTTCTTGCAAAGCCCAGGAGTGCAGAGAGGGAAGCTCCACAGGGGCACCCTTGGCTGCTCCATTTCCCTGGGCACAAGGATGAGGTGACCTTGGGGACAGTGGCACGGCTGCTGCTCAGCCTGGTGGCCAATCCCAGGCAGGGACAATCGAACTCTCGTTGCCTGGCAATGGGAACAGCACATCTATGCAATACCCATTTGTGGTGGAGCCCCAAACATTTCTGTTTGGAACTCCAAACATCCCTGCCCACCACAGCACAGGGATGGGGCGAGGGCAGCGCTGAGCACACCCCAGCGTGGGTCACACAAAGCCAGGGGCAGCCAGAGTGAAAAAATGCCATTCCAAGGGGACAGAGCTGCCCTGGAGATGGGGACAATTGCCCTTGGCCACCTTGGCAGGATGTGGGATTAAAGCTTTCCTCCCCACCATCACTGTGCTTTTCTCTGGTGAACAACTGCTGATAAAAATTCTGCTCTGAGGAAACCCCTGGGTGAGTTCACTGCTGAGCACAGATGGAAGGGAGAATAAATATTATTGTACCCTGCCTGCTTTCCATGAACAGCAATTTAAAGCACCAGGAGGAAGCTAATGCCACTCTTACCATGACACTCTTCACATAGCCAGCAGTCTCCAGGGTCTAATGAAAGAGAATGAAATAATGTCAGTAACTGGACAGGCTTAAAAAGAAAGGGAAGAAACAAAAGGTATTTTCTAGAAGAGTATCATGATTTTGGTGTTTTCTGTTTCCAAGGACAGAGAGCACATCAAGAAGGAAGCAAACCCCCAGCCCAGGGTTGCAGACCCCTCCCTGTACACAGGAATGTTCAGCCCTGGTGGTGTGTTCAGCTGAAGGAGCTCAGTTTCCCTCCCAGACCTGGCCACCAGCACATGCAAGGACATGGTTCTGTCAGGCCAGGCCAGTGCAGATTGGAAGGGTTTTCCCAAACACCACACCACAGATAATTTCTATTACTACTACGCACAGAAATGCCAGCCAGGTTCCCCTGCTGCCCACTGTGCCCACCAGCTCCCAGAACCTCGGGCACCCCTTCCTTGGGTTTCCTGTGCTCTGCCCTTGGGCACCCTCACATGAGAGCAGCAGCCTCCCATCTTACCTTGGAGAGCTCATCTATGATGTTCTGCTGCTCAATGACTTGTAGTCTCAGGAAATCCACTTCCCTTTCTTCCTGGCTGTGGTCGAGGTCATTTAGGGAGCTTGGTCTCCTTATTGCTCCACTTCTTTGCCTCTAGAACCCAAAAGCCACAGGGCAGAGGAGGAAATGATCAGGAGGCTTTGCCAGGGACTTGTCTGGCCCTTCCCTTTACAGCAAGCAGAAAACATCTCTCTAATGGTTGCCCTGGCAGCTCTCCTGTCCCGTTCTGCTGAGCCTCACATCCAGGCTCCAGATGTGCCAGAGGATCCTGCCCCTCCAGCTGGAAGAGGGGCAGGGTCACAGGGGCAGATTCCCAGGGATTGTGAGGTGATTCTGGCAGGAAAGGTGAAGGTGAGCCACAGAATGCCAGGTGAGTTTGGGCTGCAAGGGACCTGGCCAGAATGGAAGAGTTTCCCATGGAACCTGCAAGGGTGGGCCAGCGCCTGAGTCCCCCAGCCCCACCACGTCCCACGCTCCCCCAGGGGCACAGGCACTCACCATGGCGATGTTTTCCTGCGTCACAAATTTCAGTTTGTTTTCCATTCGACGTAAGGCATGTGACAACTCCTCATTCTTCCGACTGAGGCGTTTGTTTTTGTCCAATATGGGTTTATACTGACTTTCTGCTTCTCTGAGACGTTTCAGCTGAAAGATAAAGAAAAGAATAAGACCTCTGGAGCTTTTTCATCAAATATGTTAACTACTTTCTGTAACTATCATGCCAGAAGTATTTTCTCCTGATGCAAAGCAGAATTGATCAAAAACTCTCAGGATTTTCCATTGGGAAGAGAGCATTCCCACAAGAGAAGATATTGTTGTAGGGAGCCCCCAATGTGGGAATAAAATGCTTTGACTCTAATGATTCTAGAAAGCTGAACAAATGCTTTATTAAGCTTTATTATATTACACTAATAGTATATATTAAAACTATACTGAAAAGATACTAAAGAAGAACTCGTGACTGTCTCCAGACAGTCACAACACAGCTTTGACCTAATTGGCTAATCAATCTAAACAACCATCACCAGAGTCCAATTAACGAGTCACTTTTGGTAAACAATCTCCTCAACACATTCCACATGTGTCAAACAACAGGAGCAGCAAGTAGAGATAAGAGTTATTTTCTCTGAGGTTTCTCACTGCCTTTCCAAGGAGAAATCCTTGGGAAAGTTGTGTCTGCTGCTCTCTGTGAAGAGAGCTGTGGCTACAATGAGATATTCTGCCTGTGTAGCAAACATTCAATGTGGGGAATGTACTTTTTTTTTAAAAAGAAATACATATAATTGAAGCTAATGACATTTTAAAAACGCATTGCTGCACAAGCCAAGAGGGGAGTGACAAAGCCCAGGCCGAGCAGCGAGCTGAGCAGGAGGCAGCCCCTCATTTCCAGGCAGCACAGGAGCAGACCCAGGGTGTTCCTGGGGCAGGGCACACGTCCCTGGCCCTGCTGCACTCACCAGCTCGTTCCTCTCCTCCGACAGCAGCGCGTTCCTGTCCTCCAGCTTGCGGATGATCCCGCTCAGCTCCGCGATTTTCAGCTGGAAGCGCCGCGCGTCCTTTTCATCCAACTGCTGTTCCTAAAACAAAGATCAACTGCAAATAACTGCTCGTAAGTGCGCACGCAAGAGCACGTTGGCAAAGCTCAAACTTTTCCTTATCCCGAATCCAAACACTTTAAAATGTTATCGCGCAGAGCGTAACCCGTGGAACCCAAGTGACCATGGGAAGCTGCAGGGTGAGACCGACGGAAAGTCAGGAGTGGAAATGTAACAAAGAATGCAAATGCAGAGGTGTGTATATGCATATGTATGTTGATATGCATATGCAAATACAAGGTCACAAATGTGACAATACAACTGTGCAAACACAAAGTTTACAAATGGTAAACTTGGAAACAACAGAAAATACCAAAACTGAAGGCCGTGTTCCAATGGTGCCACTGTTGAACTGAGAGCTTCAGACACATCGCCCACTCTGAGGACTTGGTCATGAGAAACTGGTATTAAAATTACTGAATGGGGAAAATCCACGCAATTGTGCATTGAATAAGCTCTTCTTCCAGAAAGCTGCGGCCCTTATGGGGTCCTGAAGGGTCACTCATAAGGCTACAGGGGTAGCACTTTAATTGAGTGAAAACGCTTCAATCAAATCAGAAATGAATAGACATATAGGTAGATGTGTTCTCATTCAGAATCAGAGGAGTTACAGCTACTGACAAACATGGCAGACTTTTCCCCTCCTCTAAGACTTGTTCTGGTCTTTGGCAGAAGTTGAGTACAACTAGAGAGAGGCAAATTAGTGCCCACAAAAAAGTGCTGGTGGCACTTTTGGGAGGTCTAGGGTTCCTCATTCAACAGGTGCAGGAGAGGCTTGGGCCAAAGAATAAAACAGATTGGTTTGCTCAGGTATAAGTTTTACACTTGTACTGAGACAATCGAGGCTGCCGCAAAAGAAATCTTGATGAGGATCAGCAATGAGCACGACCTGCACACGTCAGAGGCACGAGGGCAGTTACCCGAGGGCTCTTCTGGGCAAAGGGGGCCCCAGCAGGAGGGGCCAGAGTTACGCTGCAAAAGCCACTTTGAGGGGTGATTCCAATCCAATGCTCTGGCTGTTGCAGAGGACAGGTTAGGAGGTGTTTGGCTCGCTTTGTGTCCTGCTGGCAGTGAGCAGCAGTGCAGGGCTGCCCTGCAGTGCCTCCATCCCCTCAGGAACTGGCCTCGTACGTCTGCTCCCCAAGCCCCAGCGCCTCCGAGAGCTCGCACACAAACAGCACTTGGTGAGAAATGCATTTGCATCGTTTGTTGGCACACTCGTGTCAAACTGTCAAACTAAGGCGGGTGGCTGAGCATGGCACAGTGAGGAAAAGGAGAGAAAGGACAGAGCAATTCCACCCTGCTGACAAAACCAAACCAAACCAAACCGACCGGGAAACAAAAGGACAGAAAGCAAAAGCTCTCCCATGGCGAGGTCTGATTGGAAATCTCAAGGGTTTGGGCACACAGAAGGCACAGCACGAGCAGGTGCCTCAGGAGCCCTGCACAGCCATGGGACAGCTCTTGCTCCAGGGTGCACTCATCAAGATTCTGCCGCTCGTTTGGTCGCTCGTTTAGGTGAAACCACGTGGAAGTGCTTACGGGGCTTCCCGAATGATCTGAAGCGTCTCCTGCACCACTTGCATAAGGAAGTTCCCGCTTGGGGCTGCTCAGATGCCGGTCAGACTCTTTGAGCTGGGACAGTTGTTCATCTAAAGCCTCCTTTTGGAGCTGCAGTCTCTGAGCATGCCCGGCTCGCACCCCTAACTCTCTCTCCAGCACGAAGACTGCTCTGTCCTTAAACTTAATCTCCTCCATCTACAAGGAGAACAGAACACAGTCACACAGGGCTTGGTGGCACCCGAGCACCCCAGGGTGGCACGGTGACAGTGAGCACTGGGCACAGCACACTGCCCTGCTACCCATAGTGACAATGAGCACCCCAGGGTGGCATGGTGACAGTGACAGTGAGCACTAGCTGCAGCACTGCCACCACAGTGACAGTGAGCACTGGGCACAGCACACTGCCCTGCTACCCATAGTGACAATGAGCACCCCAGGGTGGCACGGTGACAGTGACAGTGAGCACTGGCTGCAGCACTGCCACCACAGTGACAGTGAGCACTGGGCACAGCACTGCCCCTCTCCAGGGCCACCCAGCAGGAAACCCCTCCTTCAGCAGGCAGCTGGCAGTGAAATATTGGGAAACAGCCTGAAATCCTATCACCACTTCAGAATATCTTAACAAAATTAAACATTCGCGTCACACTTGGATTGCTTCACTCAGACACTTTAATGATTCTGCAGCGTTTTGCTTGGATGTCACCTCTAGAAAATGTGGATTAATAATTTTTAAAGAAAAATATTGAAACCTCTCTATCCTTTAAATTTTGAAAATTCCTAGAAGAAATATGAATTTTTAAATTTTTTTTTAATCAAAAGTCTCCCTTGTGAGCAATTTCTTTTCCATGAGAGATTTTACTTACACATAGTAAACATTATGCAAAATCACAAAGTGCTAAAATGACAAATGCCCAGTGGCCTCTAACGCTCTCCTTCCCTGTTTGCCCATGCCAAGGGGCTGTGCACATCCTGTGGGATCAGCCAGGATCCAAACCCTGGGGTCTGGTTGGAGTTCACCAGGGCAGCTGGGTCCTGCCAGTGAAGGAATCCCTGATCCCAGCCCAGTGAGGGAATCCCTGATCCCAGCCCAGCTGATCCCAGCCCAGCAAAGGGAATCCCTGATCCCGGCCCAGTGAGGAAATCCCTGATGCCAGACCAGTGAGGGAATCACCGACCCCAGACCAGTGAGGGAATCACCGATCCCAGCCCAGCTGATCCCAGCCCAGCAAAGGGAATATCTGAACCCGGCCCAGTGAGGGAATCCGTGATCCCAGCCCAGCAAAGGGAATCCCTGATCCTGGCCCAGTGAGGGAATCCCTGATCCCGGCCCAGCTGATCCCAGCCCAGCAAAGGGAATCCCTGATCCAGGCCCAGCAAAGGAATCACTGATCCTGGCCCAGCAAAGGGAATCCCTGATCCCGGCCCAGTGAGGAAATCCCTGATCCCAGACCAGTGAAGGAATCACCGATCCCAGCCCAGCAAAGGGAATCCCTGATCCCAGCCCAGCTAGGCGGGGGTGCTGCCCACGCTGGACCCCCCAGTCACAGCCCGAGTGGCAGAGGTTCCACAGAAAGGCAGCAATCACTCCCATCCCCATCCCTCAGNCCCAGCCCCGAGGGGATGCTCTGTGTCCCCTCGGCCTGGAGGGGATGCTCCCTGTCCCCCAGCCCCGAGGGGATGCTCCCTGCTGGATGTGTCCCCCCAACCCAGCCTGTGCCCCCCGAGCACTGAGGCTCTGCAGAGCTCTGGGCACCCGCAGGGGCAGCATTGGGAGGAGCAGTGGCTGTGGCTGCTCCGCTCCGGGGGAGCCTGGGAGGTTTTTAATCCAAACGATGGAAATTCCTACAGCTCATTACATCCAGGGGGAAGGCCATGGGCAGCACACCCTGCCCAGGCTGCCAGCAGGCAGAGGGGCTGAGGAACCTGGGCTGCGCTGGGGCAGCAGTGACCTCAGCGAGTGCTGGAGCCCAAAGGTGATGGGAGGTGAGGGTGGAAGTCTGGATCTCGGTTCCACAAGGACACTCCAGGGTCAGACACTGCTGTGAGTAACTGCTCAGGAGCTGTGGAGTCACAGAATATCTGAGCTGGATGTGGTGCCCAGGGACCCCTGAGCCCAGCCCCTGGCCCACCCTGGGCACCCGAGAGCAGCCTGAGCACTGGGACTGATGTGAGACAAACTGCAGGCACGGGGGGACACAAACACAGGGGCTGCTGCTCCGGGACGAGATTCCAGCTGGGAGCCCAGAGCAGGGGCTGGCACTGCTGGCTGTGCTGGTGACCTGGTACAGGGCAGGGCAGAAAAACCTGCTGATAACAGAGGATTATGTGGGTCAATCAGGAAAGAGGACAAGGCAGGCAAAAGGAAAAAAAATGAAACAATAACCTCAAACTAGAAAAAATAGGTAACTTAGCAACATAAAATTCAATCTGTGAAAGTACAAGATAATCTACATTTAAAAATACAATTTGACATATCCTGCACACAGAGATTTTGGAGGAAAGATCAAGTCATCACTGAGGACATCTGCTGTGCACACAGCAACGTAAATAAGGTTTTACAGAGGCAGGAGATGTGAAATCAGAGGAAAAGCATTATGATGCTGCAGAAAGCTAAATGGTAGGCGCTCATTAATCCACTCAAACTCTCCTAAATGAAACCTAATATGTGTGACCCGGTAATAGAAGAGTGAGGCTCTGTGATTTTTTTGAAAGGACATTGAACAGGAAGTTATTGAATGATTGATACTGTGTAGGGGAAAAGGATGTTTCAGTTACTTTTCCATACTAATGCAAGAGCAAGGAACCACCCTGTGGGCACTGGCAGGAAATGAAATTATTTATCCGGTGGCAAGATGAATCTTTGGGATCACACACCACAAAGCCTGGGAGCAGCTGTCCATGCTCCTGCTGCTGCTGGGGCCAAACCATCCCTGGGCAGGACAAGGCAGGAGCTGAGTCCCTGGGGCTGGCACCGGAGCAGCCACCACAGGTCAGGTTGGGTCAGGTCAGGTCAGTCCAGCCCTTCCAGTCCAGTCCAGTCCAGTCCAGTCCAGTCCAGTCCAGTCCAGTCCTTCCAGTCCAGCCTTTCCAGCCCAACCCATCCATCCCATCCCATCCCATCCCATCCCATCCATCCCATCCCATCCCATCCCTCCCTGGTGCCTGCTCTCTGCCCCTGGGGGAGAGCATTGTCCTCCTCATTTAATTGTTCCTGTGCTGAAACCACAGCTCCTGCTCTGCTCTTGCCTGGTGCAAGGTGGAACAGGGCAGAGTCCTGGGGAGAGCCCTGCTGGGCCAGGAGGAGAGGGGAGAGCCCAGAGGCTCAGGAGTGGGGCAAGGGGCTGAGAGGAGACGTTCCTGCCTCAATTCCTCAGGATGAGAGCAAGCAGCCTCAAGCTGCACCAGGAGAGGTTCAGGTTGGAGATCAGGGAAAATTTCTACTCAGAAAGGGTTGTCCAGTCCTGCCAAGGGCAGTGATGGAGTCACCATGCCTGGAAGTGTTCCAAACATGCAGATGTGGCACTTAGGGACGTGGCTTAGAGGTGAACATGGTGGTGGTGTGGGTCAATAGCTGGATTTGATGATCACCAAGGGTTTTTTCAACCTTGTAAATGCTGTGACTCTATGATTCCATGATTCTGCTCCATCCCTTGGGATGCCAGCTCAGGCCAGGGTGACTGCAGTGCTCAGCAGCTGGAGGTGGGCTGATCACCCACAGATCAGCAACATCACAGCTCCTGGAGGTGCTGAGCTTTTAAAAACTTCTAAAAGCTTATTCAAAAGTACAAGGAAAACATGTCTAACAATAATAACAGCTTAAAAAAAACCAAATCTGCAATTGAAATGACCACAGATACACTGGAAATAGCAGCCTGAGAGCATTTTTCTGTCTAGGTAATAATATCCTGGCAGCATTTCAACAGAACTAGAATTACTTTCCAGTGTCAGATGCCACATTTTACTGGCGCTCGGGAAATGCTCCTGTGTCCCTGTCCTACCTGCAGGTTCTCTGCTGTAAGGGAACCCTCCTGTCTTTCCTTCAGCGATCCCAGCTCCCTCCTCCCTGAATAAATTCCTCTGGATTTGACACCCAGTTCTGTGGGCTCGAGGAGATGAAAAAGCTCCAGGAAACAAACACCTGGGATGGTTCACCTGCACCCCGGCACCGTGTATCTACAGCCCCGGGACCGGGCATTGGCAGCCCGGTATCGTGTTCCTGCAGCCCCGGGACCGAGCATCGATAGCCCGGTATCGTGTATTG